TTTGGATCTCATCTGTAGGACGAAATGATTTGGATTGTTTACCAACTCTGAATGATTTCCTTGGAGAAAATGGATACAAACTTGATGAAGATATTCGCAGCGACATTGCAGATCATCTCCGCGATTTATACACGAACATCATTAAGTATTTTCCAAACATCAATGACCACAATAACTGGATTTGAAATCCATTAAGTTTAACAGAAAAGCCAGTCAGTTTTTCTACACAAGATTATGAAAACCTAATTGAAATCGTTTCAGATGGCCAATTAATAAAAAAATTTAAAGAAGTTTCTCTGATTACATTTTGGGGTGACTTGTGTCAAAGTCAAGAATATTCATCTTTATCAAGACGCACAGTTCGTCAGCTGTTACCCTTTGCCAGTACATACTTGTGCGAAACTGGGTTCTCGAACTATGCAGCAACGAAAACGAAAAACAGAAATCGACTGAATGCTGCGCCAGATATCACATTGAAAACCACTCTTCACATTGAAAGCTATTAATTTATATTATTTGATAGTTTTATTTTTTTACATATTTAATATATTTTTGTTGAATATAAATGAATGGTGTTATATTCAATATGTTGAATTTAAATGAATGGTGATCTCATGACTGTATTTAGCATCTTATTACTACCAATTGTGGTGTACTGGCAGTCTGTGTGTGTTTGGGTGTGTTTTTTTTTTTGCTAACTATGCAGCAATGAAAATGAAATACAGAAATCGACTGAATGCTGCGCCAGATATGCGAATCCAACTTTCTAGTATTAAACCAAATATAGAAAGAATTTGCCAAGAAAAGAAGAAAAAACACTCTTCGCATTGAAAACTATGAATATAATTAATATTATTTGATAGTTTTATTTTTTGTACATATTTAATATGATTTTTGTTGACTATAAATGAATGGTGTTATATTCAATATGTTGAATTTAAATGAATGGTGATCTCATGACCGTATTTAGCATCTTATCACTACCAATTGTGGTGTACTGGCAGTCTGTGTGTGTTTGAGTGTTGTTGTTTTTTTTAATCCCTTGCTGAAATTTTCTGAGTGTGAAAGGGTTCCGTGGTCAAAAAAAATTGGGAAACACTGGTCTAGACAACAGGGTTTTGTCGACAGAGGCTTTTGCCACCCGACAAAGAGCGTCTAGACTGCATCCAGTTTTGTCAACAAAGCAAGCGCTTTGTCAACATGACAGTGTAGAGGCAAAGGGCAGTATAGATGCAGTAACACTTTCTGTCGACAGAACTCTGTCGACAAAAGGCATTATTCCTCGTAGAATGAGTTTACCGCTGTCGACAAAACTGCTGCGTTCTGTCAACATAACGTCAACAGAACTAAGCGGCAGTATAGACGCAGGTATAGTTTTGTCAACAAAAGTCCACTTTTGTCAACAAAATCTGTAGTATAGATACACCCTTAGAGCCTACGTAACCAGTGCACCTCTCTCCCATCCCCCTGTGGCTGGGAAGGCTTGAGACCCCTCTGTCATATTCCCTGCAGTGTCTCTGACGATTGGTTTATTTCCATTGCCCCCAGCTGCTCAGGGAAAGGGCAGAGAAGCCTTTGTCTCGCATAGGTACTCCACACAGCAGCGGTGGCCAAACTGCAGCTTGTGAGCAACATGTGGTTCTTTTATAGTTCAAGTGCGGCTCATGGGCCCTCTGCCGGGTGGCAGGGAAGAGGCGACCAATGCCTGATGAGCGGGAGATGGCAATTTAAAAGGTTTGCCCCCCTCCAACAGCTTGACTCACGCCCCTGCCCCGGCCGTGCTCCCCCCTTCCCCTGAACAGCTGCACCTCCCAGCTTCCCAGTTCCAGCAGCTGCCCAGCGGTGACTGCGTAGGGTCAACAAATCCTGGCAAAAAACCTGGAGTGTAGCATGTGACCCCTCCCCCCAGGAGTCACCCCTGGCTTCTGCCCAGCTGGGAGGTGGGTTTCCCAGCTTCAACATATTCTTCCCTCCCCTAGCCCTGGGCATGTTGTGCCCCAAACCCCAGCAGGCACACCCCAGGCCTGGAACTCCTGCTGAGCGTTGTGTGTGTCTCAGGGGGTCAGCAAGCTTGGCCGCCCCCCGCCACAGAGGTTCTTACCTTGATCAGTTTGATGCAGCTGGTCATTGAAGTTGCTTGGACACAGACCAGCGGGTGAGACTTGATGCTCAAGGCCCACTCCTCACACTTGCGGAGCTCGGCGCGGCTGATGCAGCACCAGGGGACCAGACCAGCGGGTGAGACTTGATGCTCAAGGCCCACTCCTCACACTTGCGGAGCTCGGCGCGGCTGATGCAGCACCAGGGGACCACACTGTTGTCCAGCGAGCTCCCTGCAGCAGCCGGAAAGAGCACCACGGGGTCATTCCCTCTCACCTTCATGACCTAGTCCTTTCAGGAGGGCCACGTAATCCAGGCCAAGGACATGGGAGATCTCTGCTTTGCCCTCGAGGAGCTGCAAGTGCTGGGTGGCGTCACGGAATAGCAGGTTCTTCCCCCTGAATGGCGCTGAAGCGAAGAGCTCAAACTTGTCCCTTTCTTTTCCCTTCTGCCCAAAGAGATGCTAGGAAAAGTACAACGGCTTTAGCTGCCCATCTGCTCTGTAACTAGCAGCCTTGTTCCTAACCCTCCCCCATCTCAGAATTCTAACATGCCCTGGGCACCGGCAAGCCCCGCATGCATCTGCCTCTTGTGTTGGTTTCCAGCCCTGCATGATCGTGGACCCAGCTATTTGAGGAACTGCTGCTTCTCCTGCCCCATCCTGTTGATGGCAATTGGCTGGCATGCACATGTTCTGCCGGGCAGCGTGCTGTCTGTAAGCATCCAAGCAGAAGCTGCAGACTACAGCGTAAGGCACATCAGTTTGGGGGTAAATTATTCACTAAGCCTGGGCTGTTCCCAGGGCAGAATACGGAGGTCTGTAGGAACTTTCTTAAATCTGGTGTAGTCAATGTTCAGTTTTGGAGGCATTCGAGATGCCTGGAGGCTGAAGCAACAAGTGCTGTTTATCCACTAGGGAATGTGAATAATGGGGATGGAGAAATAATCAGGGACTTGCACCCAAAAGTCCCCAAATCATATGGCATATTCCCTAAGAATTCACATCAGTGGGGCACTTGGGGGCCAGTGGGGAGGAGACCCTGTGTGTTTCTTCTTCCAATTTCAATGGTCTGGCCTCTTCCCCCCTCCACTGCTCACTGTGACCTGAGCTTCTAGGAGTGAAACAAACTAGAGCTAGAGGAGACCTAGCTAGTCTTCCCAGGGCCAATGCAGGATGATTCCCGTCAGGGCTTTGTCCCTGTAATTTCAACTATCTCCAAGAGATGGCGCTTTGCCCACTTTGTTTAGGAGACAATTACAGAGTCTAATTGATGCTGCTGTCAAGAAGTTTCTTCCTGATTATTCATCCTGTATTTTCCCTTGCATAATTGTTAGCCAAGATTCCTTGTTACTTCCTCTTGCATAACTCCTCCCTCCTGAGCAGTTGCAGCCTTGTGTACTCAGATGTTGTTACACTGTCCCCATTTACTCATCACCTACTGGGGCTACACCCAGCATCTGCTTCAGGGCATCAGCAAAGCACAGGTGATAGTCTGAGGTGGGAGAAACTGACTTGGAGGGAATAGAGTTTGGGGCTGCAGCACCATAACCTGATGGCAAACCTGTTCTACATGGGGGATGGGGAAGAGAGAAGAGGAAGAGATATCTGGGAGCTGATGGCTGTGGCTGAGCAAAAATCTAGGCACAATGCTGTGGCCAGATCTACACTAACAGGGGAGGTGGAAGCAAGATGTGCAATTCCAGCTGTTAATTACGTATCATTAACAAATGATCCTGTCAGCTTCCTTTCCTCCTCACGCAAGCAGGAGTACCAGCAGCCGGCGGCAGAGCCAGCTTGAGCCATTCCTGCACCCTGGGCAGCAAGCATGAGACACATGCACAGAGCACATCTTACAGCTGCAATCGGACGCGCGGCGCCTGAGGGCAGCTGGAAGGGGCGCCGTGCGGCCGGGCGCGCGGTGTCCCTTACAGCTGCCATCAGGCACCCGCAATAGGTTGGCACCCCAGGCAGCTGCCCGGCTAGCCCCCCCTTTACTCCGGTCCTGGCCGGTGGGTGCACCTTCTAAGTTTGATTTAGCAAGTCTTAACTAGTCTCACTAAATCGAACTCCTTAAGCTCCATCGTGGCAGCATCGAACTTCTACGGAGTGAAAACGTGGCCTAATTCCGTATGACCAGTTTCAGAGAGATAGCTGTGTTAGACTGTCTCCGCAAAAACAATGAGGAATCCTGTGGCACCTTACAGATGAAAATGTATTTTAAGCTTTTGTGGGCTGCCACTAATTTTGTCAGATGCATGAAGTAGAAGCGTCAGTGAGGCAGGGAGGTTAATTCAAGTAGGGTGGATGTGGCCCACTTCCAACAGTTGATAAGAAGGCAACTAAAGGGGGAAATGTACTTTTTTGTAATGAGCGAGCCAAATTTGAAAGGGTTTGAATAAGGACTGAGAATGGCTAGCTCATTACAAAAAGTAATTTCGCCCTTTAAAAAACAACACAAACAACCCGGAGTTGTGTGGCACCCTAAAGACTAAGATTTATCTGGCCATAATCTTCCATGGGCATCTGATGAAGTGGATCTTTGCCTATGAAAGCTGATGCCCAAATAAATCTGTTTAGTCTTTAAGATGCCAGAGGATTCCTCATTTTTGCCAATACAGAGTAACAGGACTACCCTGCAGAGACTTTTCCCTTTTAAGTATGTTCACCTTCTAGTAACGTAACACTCCCACTTCTGTATCTATAAATCCCTGCTGTACAGAAGCTTCCACCTCATGCATCTGACAAAGTGGGCTACAGCCCATAAAGGCATAGGCACTAATTCTGTATGCATCCCATGAAGATGCTGCCAGAAGTTGGCTGAAGTGTAAAGCTCCCTCTGTGTGAATCTTCTCTGAGTGCTGCTGCCCATGTGAGCAAATAAGTGGTTCCTGTATCCACAGATTGGGTCCATGTCCACACTGTTAAATTACCTCCCCCAATACATGGCATTACTGCTTTCCAAGCATTCCCTCTTAAATATGTTTCAGATCAGTTCCCCCCCCCCCACACACACACACACACAGATTTGAGACCAGGTTTGCAATGGGGAATGAGACTCCTTTTCCCGGAGAGAGAGGGGGTAGGAGTAGATGCTGGAGTCAGACTTTCCTGGTAAATGCTAGATGCTGCCATTGAATATATGCATCGATAGTTCCCAGAGGCCCCAAACAGGATCAAGCACTCATTGTGCTACACGTGTACAAAAACGGCCCCTTCCTCACTGCCTTTAGCCTCACAGTCCCACAAATATGTAGAGGCCCAACTTCCATTGACTTCAGGGAGAGCAGATACCTAAATACCTTTTCAGATAGTAAAGTTCAGATCCTAAAGTTTTCCGCCCTCACCACATTAGCAGCAAATGGAGGAATGTAGTGAGAGCAAAGATCTCTCTGTATTTCCTCTACACTTAATGGCGGAGACATCCACTCTTGCCCTGTCTCTCCCAGGTGTAGTACTTTGGTACTGTGATCTAAAACTGCATGCACACACACTCTCTCTCCAATAGCCTTTGGAACGCTCCCCTTGGTACTTGTCCTAGCAGATGGCAACATTGGATGTCCCAGAGCAGCCTCAATACCTGCAGTCTAGCTCTTACCAGCTACAGCCAGAGAGAGCTTGGAACCTGATAGGCAGTTCCAAATTACCTGTATCATGGTGAGAAATTTCTTGGTGATCTTCTGGAAGTTGTGGCGGCTGACGATGGCACGCCCAGGCCCACGACCCAGGTTACAAGTGCCATAGGCGCTCAGCTTCTCTGTGGATCCATCGGGACACAGGAGCTCATATTCCTCTTGCTCTGAATCTAAAATAAGGCTGCTATCAAAGCTGTGAAGTGAAACCCATCCTGGCACAAGGAGAGAGCATTTGTCCAGCCTGCACCCCCACAGGGTAGTGAGTGCCAGCTGTCAGCAGGGAACATTTCTCTCGGTGCTGCTCCCCTTACCGATGAAGGATGTTAAAGCAGAAGGACTTTGGCTGGGCAATTTGAGATGCAGCAATAATTTTAAAAGTGGCTTTAAAGAACAAACAAACTGCAAGATCCCTGCAAACGATGTGCCAAAAAAAAAAATTTTGGGTCAGGGAAAAAGCCTGACTAATGAAAACTGCTCCTCTGGCAGAGGTACCTGTGGAATTTTAAAGGGTCTCTCATTCTAAACTATCGGCCATGCTGTAGAAATAGCAACTGTGTCTTCAACCGGCTGAGAACCAAGGCAACCATCTAAAACGGAAAGGTTTGGTGGTTCCACCAGAATGTCTCCTGTGAGCCCCCAACCTTGTGCTCTCCATTTTGCTCCGACCCTTGGACTTCTGAGGCTGCCCCAGGGCTGGCACTGGCAGCCTCATTAGGAAGGCAGGATAAGGGACACCTGGAAGGTACTGAAGTGGGCTGGGTTCGGAGTGGCCTAGGGCAGGGGTTCTCAAACTTGTGATACCGCGACCCCCCTCTCAGTTGCTCGCGACCTCCCTCTACGTTGTTTGCGATCCCCCTCTCAGTTGCTCGCGACCCCCCAAGGGGTCAGGACCCACAGTTTGAGAAACGCTGGCCTAGGGGATAGGACATTCATCTGGGGAGGGCAGGGTTCAAGTCCCTCCTCCGCAGGAGCAGCCAAACAGAGTGGCTTCCCTAGATTCAATTCAAACTGGAATCGACAATGCATTAGGCATCTATCCCCAAAACGTCCATGTGGAAAAGAAGACATGTGGCAGGCCAGCAGAAATCAGACTACTTGGCATTACCTGTGCCATTCATTATTATTAAGTGATCTAGGAAAGCAACATCTGCCACCCCACGCTTCAGGCACCTGCAGAGAGATTTAACACAATTCATTAGCACTGAACCCTGCTTTTCTCCTCCTCCCGCTGCTTCTTCCCTCACAGCCACTTCTAATTCAAGCAGGGCATGGGGGTGAGGTCACCTGAAGGCTCCCTCTGAGTCGTAGAAGGGCTCGCTGCTGCTGGTCTCACAGAAGTGGTTCTTGTTCCTGACGTAGGATTTTGGTCCTTGACAGAGAGCACAGAGCTGAGGGGACGTGACACCGACCCCGGGGATGCAGCTGGCATTGAAATATTGACTGATCACTACAGACACAAGAAAAACAGTCAAACAGCAAAGGCAAGAAGAGAGAAAAGTAGCGTTTCAAATGTGCTACTTGTACAAAAGTCTTGAGTGGGGATGGTTTGGTTGTCAAAGCTTCAGGTATAAAATACTCCCTGAAACTTTTACTACAGGGTCAAATTGCGGTTGGGTCGAGTCTGTCCATCTTCTTTCTGTAAGAGTTAAATTCAGTTTTGTGCATTTACTGTACATGGGCCCCTATCCTTAAAAACTAGTGCCCTGTCTGCTCTGTAGTTCAGTAAAGAATCTGAGGCACTTTCTGTAAGAACCTCGGGTCTCTGACCAGCCTCGCCTCACTGTAGTGTACTTGCTATACCCCAGCTCATTGCTGCTTTCCACAGCAAAGGTGGCTGCGCTTCATTGGTACCAGGCAGCCATAAGATCCAATCCTCCCTTTTGGTGAGATTTGGGTGCAAGGGGAGTGCAAGATCAGGCCCATCATCTGTGAAAGGCTTTGAGATCCTTTTGGAATGAAAGGCACAATAGAAAGGTACGACAACATGCTGTAAAAGCTGCAGCCTCCCACTAAACACAGAACAAATGTTTCCTATTGCACTTGCTTAACATTTTCTGTTGCGAGTGATCACTGGAAAGGCTTTGGCAGAAGACAGCTGGCCCAAGTGGCCAAACTACCCCAAGAGGATATCTGGTCAACAACCCAGAGGTGCTTTGGTGTTGGTCTGTTCCATATAGATCAGCAGATGTTACATTTTTCACCACTTCACTCTCTTTTACATGGGAAGGACATTGGCCCCGTGGGATCTGTCACCATCCACTCACCCACCTTGGCTCAGAGGCTGATCCTCATTCCAATGGAGCTCATTTCTAGCCAGGAGGAAGCCCAGTGGGATATTCCAGCCTGATGTCCATCTGGCTCCGTTGTGGCAGCTACGCACCCCCCCGAGCCTCTGAATGTCCAATGATCCTCGTCGGGCAACGGCCACAGCAAACACACAGTTTCCTAGTAATGGTGAAGTGGAGACACCCAAAAGATCACCACCCCTTAAGTAAACTTAAGACACCTGCCCCCTGCGCATCTCTGTGCTGGGACTAAGGAAAAAGTCTCAAATAAAAGGTAAGACAAGCAGTTACCAGCACAAACAGAGAAAGGGGAGTTAGTCTGAAAGGAACATTCAGTGGCTGTCAAAAAAGCAAACAGAATGTTAGGAGTCATTAAAAAAGGAACAGAGAATAAGACGGAGAATATCTTATTGCCGCTATATAAAACCATGGTACGCCCACATCTTGAATACTGTGTACAGATGTGGTTGCCTCACCTAAAAAAAGATATGTTGGCACGGGAAAAGGTTCAGAAAAAGGCAACAAAAGTGATTAGGGGTTTGGAACGGGTCCCATGTGAAGGGAGATTAAAAAGACTGGGACTTTTCAGCTTAGAAAAGAGGAGACGGAGTGGGGATATGATAGAGGTCTATAAAATCATGACTGGTATGGAAAATGTGAATAACGAAAAGTTATTTACTTGTTCCCAGAACATTAGAACTAGGAGTAACCTAATAAATAAGCAGCAGGTTTAAAAAGAACAAAGGAAGCTTTTCTTCACTCCGTACACAGTCAACCTGTGGAACTCCTTGACAGAGGATGTGGTGAAGGCTAGAACTTTAACAGCGTTCAAAAAGGAGCTAGATAGATTCATGGAGGCTAGGTACATCAATGGCTATTAGCCAGGATGGGTAGGAATGGTGTCCCTTGCCTCTATTTGTCTGGAAATGAGTGACAGGGGAGGGACCACATGAGGATTCCCTGTTGTGTTCCCTCCTTCTGGGGCATCTGGTGTTGACCACTGTTGGCAGAGAGGACACTGGGCTAGATGGGCCTTTGGTCTGACCCAGTCTGGCCATTCTTATGTCGGTTATATCAATGCCCAGTTTGCCATGACACTGCCAACGTGCAAAGCCAGGAATAAAGAACTGGATGGGAAACATCTATCAGGCAAGCTGTCCATCAACCCAAGTTCAGTGTGGTCTTGTTCGCATGAAGCATTGCACTGGGCCCTTGTGCCATCTAGTAGGTATCCTGTCACTCCTGGTTCTTTCACAGCTTAATAGCTCCGATTTCCGTGATCATTCCAATCTTCAGCCAGAAATTTTCCCGTCTGTAATTTCATCCTGTTTCTCGCAGTTATTGCCTGGATATCTTTCTAACCGAACGCCCTTCAGATGTAGTCAGTCATGCAATCTTAGTTTTGGCCAGGCCAGGCTTTAGTTCTCATTCCTTCCTTGTAAGTCATCGTCCTCCCACCCATTGCTCAGTGCTAGCGTTCTTCTCCTTCCCACTTGGAAATGTTTTTCAGAAGGGCTCTGTTTATAAGGGGAAAAGGTATCTTGGCTGGGAACACCAGTGTGCATTGGGAAGCGGCTCTCTAGAGACCGAGAAAGGGGTTGGTTATTGGCACTGGGGAGAGGCTGGGAGGATGGAAAATGTTATTAAAATGCAGGATGTTATTGGCATTTTATTTCTCTCAAAACGCTTTGCAAACATACATCAAGCTTCTCAAAACCTCTTTGAAATAAGTGAGGGCTCTATGGTTAGTGCTACTGAGACACTGAGATGGAGCAAATTACTTAATGTCATCTAATGAACCACTGTCCAAAGCAGAATAGAACCTGATTCTCAGCTCTAACCACTATGGATTCTTCCTCTCACAAAGGATAGGATTTCTGTATCGCTCCAATATTTCCTATATTGCTCTGCTCCGAAGTTATCCATAGTAGTGCTTTCTCTGTTACGTTCCATCTTAAGGTGTGTCTACACAGCAGGGCTTAACTCAAAATAAGCTACCCAAATTGAACTACGTCAATTGTGTATCTCAGTGGTCCCCAACCATCTGAGGCTGCTGGATGCCAGGGGGCGTGACCGTTCACCTGCCGGGCGCCTGAGGGCGGGGACACTTGTGCGCCCGGGGGCGGGGCTCCCCGCAAGCGCCGCGCG